TAGATTGAGAGAGATTGAGAGAGATTGATGAATTGGTGAGTAAAAATGAAAGAATGAGGGGGTATTTATAGTTGAGAATTGGGAAAAAGTATAATTATATAAAGTTTGGGGTTAAAATAAAGTTTGGGGCCAAATGGCTATTTTTTAAATTGGCCAACGGATAAATTTTAAAGGCCAACGGCTAGATTTTAAAAATCTGACCGTTGGTCTTTTTTTTTAATTTTTTTTTTTAAAAATAGCCGTTGGAGCCCGTTAGGCCCGTTGGGCCCGGTTGAACTGGCCCAGGCCCACCTGCCAGTCCCGGGCTTAGTGGTCCCGGGCTCGTGGGCTCCTTGAATTGGACCGGCCCGCCACGGGCCTTGTGCACCATTTGGGACCGGCCCACCGAGACTGGTCCACCAGGCCCGTTTAGCCCATTTGGACCGCGGTCCCGGGCCAGGCCCGGCCCACAGTGCACCATTAATCAAACCAGTGCTTAAGCAAGTCTTGACCTCGAGCTAGATGGCCTCGAGGCAGGTCAAGAAGAACAGTAAAGTAAAGACAATAAAGTTAAGAGACAATTCTGATGAGTAATGAGCAAGAAAGTAAGATAGTATATTCTTTTGCTAATGATTCATGATGTTACAAATGATTGAGGTCCCCTTTATATAGTAGGGAAAACCTAAAATAAGGTACATTTCTATTTATAGTAAGGAATCTTATTGGGACAGCTGTCTAACCGCCTAGTACCGATTCGTACTAACTCGTACAAATCTATTTTGGAATTTACGCCATGATCTTGGGGATGTGACCGGAATCTTGCTCTTTCTGTTACAAATCTATAACGGCATTATTTCGGGGTTGGTCATACTCAGCTTCGGTGCCCATCACGCACTTCGATCTTCGAGCCTCGTACTCCGTCATCAGGCTCGAGCTTGGTCTATCGGGCTTGAACTCGATCCATCCTGAACTCGGGCTTGAAGCGAAACTTCGAGCCCGTGAGATCGGGCATACGTGATTCGACCGTATACAACAATCATTGTTTTCATTTTCTATCTCGTAGTAATGATGTTTTATACTTCAATACCACACAAGAGGAGGGGTGATTTGTGTGGTACCCAATTTTTCGCTTAAACTGATTGTGAAAGGACCTGGTTCTTCTAAGTGTTCCCTAACCTACTATTGCAGAAATAGTAAATGCAGAAAGTAAAGAACACAAGTATTTTACGTGGAAAACACCTGGCTCAAAAGGTGAAAAACCCACGACCTACTTTCCAGTAGGATTTTTCCAAACTCTCTACTAAAATCACTGAGCCAAAAACTGCATTTACAAAAACTCTTTTGTAAACCTAGGACTAACTCTAATCCCGTTGTAGCACACAGCCTCTAACTGTAGCGACAACTTCAAGTTAACTCTAACTTGAAGACTCTGAGTACCTATTACAATTGATTCTAGATAAACCTGAAAGGTACAATATAAAACCACCTACTATAATTCAACTAGAATAAAAGACCGACACTTGGAACTGGTTCTTCTATCTGGTTCATGTAGCTTCAGGTTTGCACATTTGAATCACACACGAACTGCTTGCAAAATTGCTTTGCTATTTTGCTCTCAATTCACGTTTAACTTATGCGTTTGTGCAACTCCTGTAAAAGAGAATAACATTGATATTTATAGAGTTAGTAAATAGAGATTGACTAGAATTCTGATGATACTCTTCCTTGGTGGAAGAGTTCTAGATGATCTCAACCTCTAACTCCTTCCCTTTCTTAACCCGTGTTCTCTTTGAGTAAGGAGTCCTACTCCTTATCCAATATGCAACCTTTTCGATCAGGATCAGGAGATATCACTTCTGTCAAGTTAGGTTTATCTCCTTCACGTGCATCCCACATGCTTAAGTCTATCCGTATCTGTGCTCCACTGGGATGGACCTGGTTCATATCTGAGTTCCTTTGTCAGTCTTCGAAACTAACTTTTACTTGGGCCAACAAGTAGTATTATATATGTACTTTATTTATTTAGAAATTGCTCAAATTAGTAAAGGAATGTAGAAAGCAATGTGCCGCTCACACGAGGGGAAATACTAAAATAAACTTAAACTATGGAAATTTTATAGACGTATACTGTGCATCTGTACAAGCTTAAGGAACTTTGTCCCTTCAAGTGGGAAACAAAAATGAAGGAAATAGAGAATGACCTTCTTTCCCTTTTCTTTTCCACTTATTCGTTTTCCTTTTTCCACCTAATTTCCATGTTCATATATAACTAGATAATATAAGAATGGTACTTCTAATCCTCGCGTATATGAACTAGGAATATAATGCATGTGGTCTGTCCACCAGCATCATCCAAGATACATAGGCTAAATACCAAGCTATATGGTCCAAATATACATTCAACAGATATATATACACACATAAATATCTCACTTTTTTTCTTGGCTGCATTTGTCTAATTCGCTTCTTCTTTTTTTTGTGTGGCTTTTTCAAAGAAAAAAAGGATGGGGTGGAGTTGTTTCAGTACCGGGGAGGATAACCCTAGAAATATTAAGTCCTAGTAGTAGTAATACATTGTGTGTATATAGAAGTACATTAGTTGTAACCATAGTTAGTTAGTTAGACACAAGTTAGTATTGGGTTACGTTAGTGAGTTAGGAAATAATATAAGTTGTACATTTTCATTTCTTTTGTTCAATAAGAAAATATCAGAGAGATAGTTGCTCTCACAACCGACATTCTCTCTCTTTAGCTCTCCTTCATCTCCAGCTCTCATTCTTCTCTCAATATGGTATCAGAGCTTCCGACAGTAGTGATTGAGCTGGTAAATGAGCATTTGAGAGTGATCTGTCAAGCAATTGGCTGAATCCACTGAAGACCAGTAGCAGAGGTTGCTTGCGACGGTAGCATTAGCTAGGCAATCAAGGCAGGTCGAACAGAGTCGGTCCTAGGGTGAAGATCATCGGATGGAAAAATGGATNGTACCTTTGAACTGTTTCGTCTATTTGCACAATGTCGCCTTGATTTAAACTACATTCGGATACAAGTTCTTTTTCAATAGTTGTTATGCACAAAGGATACACCCCAAATTCTCTGTTCTCTTTTTTCAATTCTACATACACTCTGTAACCCATATCATTGTGCATTTTCATTGGCGTGCAATTTCCTTCTACTTTGTATTGAATTTTAATGGACTTTGAGCTCAAATCTATACCAGTTGATTAGAAATTGAAGCAACCAGATCATTAAAGGAGGCATACTCCTTTATCAGTATTTCCTCAATTGAAAAATCGATGTAATTGCCCTCATCGATCCACTTGCCAGAATGACGCAACAATACTGTTAAACTTGCCATATGTATAAAGGAACTATACCGTATTTTGTATATAATTTGTATCAATCTAATTTTTCGTGGTTGAATTGATATCTGCAAAAAGAGAAAAAGGAGAAGCGAATGGAAGAACTTCGAACAGATGTTGCTCTGGTTTTCGTTGTATTCACGTTTTTTGAGTTGATCTCTTCGAGCAGAATACAGATTAATGGGTACTAGTTTTTGTTCGTTGAGTTAAATTAGGAGAATATCATGTGATTTGATTTCCTTCCGTTTTTAACTAGTTTAACCTTCCAGATTTTGCGCAGATACGTTACTGTATTCATGTTAATGCCGCTTGAATACAGTTAAATACATATCAAACTTAGCTGGAATTCCCTTTGTAACACCTATTTTTCCGATTGTATTAATGAATATAACAGCTTAAATACATAAAATATATTGTATAAAAACATAAAAGGTATCTATAACACGTAATATAGCAAAAGGTATCTATAAATGGCTAATTAGACCTAAAAGATGGTGCTTTATGAAAAATTCTCGAAAAAAAATTGTTCAATGGTTACAAAGTTTTTTAGGCCCGCCGACAAGGACAGCCTATAAATTTTTCCAAAAGTAACTTTTCTCAACTGATTGGGTCGTCAAAAGTTGATTATTCCACGTGTCATCTTCATACTGGGTTGACGGTAGGGGTACGGTATTTATATATTTTGGTTCTATATTTTCGGTATTCGGTTTCTTAAAATCCTATACTAATACCGTACCTAATTAAATTTGATATGGTTCGATTTTTCTCCTTTCGGTTTCGATTTATTCGGTTCGGTAACTTCGGTTTATTCGATTTCAATACTAACTAGTGCATAGAACCATACACTCTAATATTCTTAGTTAAAATACTCAAAAATACAAAATTAAAAATGTTTGTTGACAAAGTTTTTGTCTAAAACTAGCAAATATCGACCCAAATAGATAAATTGTACATAAAAGAATATTTAATCATTAGAAATGTCATGTTACTTGTTTAGAGTTAATTGATGAACTTTGAGAATAAAGAAAAGTTAAATTTTAGATTTTTTGTATTTATGTTATAATTGATAATATGTGTTTTGTGTAATATAATACGCATTTCGGTACGGTATCGGTATTTCGGTATTTTATTTTAAAAGACCTAATACCAAATTTTTTAAAAACTTAAACCAAATACCATACAAATACCGAAATACCGTATATCAAATACTAATTTTTTTTATTTCAGTACGATAATTCGGTATTTACCAAATTATGCACCGCCCTAGTTTCCTGATTACTGTCTCGTATTGGCTGCTTTGAAGAAAATTTAGGTTCCAAGGAAAAAAAATTAAGCTCTATTCTCGAGTATAAAAGTATATTTACACAATCAACTAAGATAATTATTTAAAGATAAATATATTAATAAATATTACAAACTAATATTCCGATAAAATTAATAATTAATCTCCTATTACAAGTTAAAATTAAGAACACTCTCGTCCGAAACAAGAAAGGCGAGCAACTATGATTTGAAGGTTATGAGTTACTTGATTTTAGTTGTTTTAAATTAGTGGGTTCTAATTAAATAAATAATTAATAATTATTTAATAAATATTTTAAGACAAATGAGGATTAGCTGACAACTAGCTCTGCCCCAGATAACCTGTGATGACTGATTGAATTATCGAACTGGTTACATCTTTATAGGAGATGAGATTACTCTCACACTATCACTTACAAAATTAAAATTAAAATTAAAATATTACTGTTAACCTTTAATAAATAAAGAGCGTAACAAAGTGATCAGTTACAAATAACGATGTTGTAAGGAAAACCAAATTATTTTTTCTACAACATTCACAGTCAACTTAGATGTGTTTGTTTGAGAGACCGAAATACGCGAATTTTACATCATCACATTTGAAGGGCAAGAAAACGAGAGTATCTGCAAACACATGATTTAGCTGCATCAATGTTCACATGTTTCAATAAGGACAGTTTAATTAGTTGTCAATAACTTGTTAGATGGCCAAGGTGAAAAAAATGAGCAGCAGAAGAATTAAATTTCACCTGTTCCATTCAAAGTTCATCTGTATGATCTCTGCAGTTAAAAAAGGGAGAGATTACTGAAAAACCATAGGAATGGGTGGAATTGGAAAGCGTTTAATAAGAAGGAAAAAGCTTTCCAACCCACCAATCCCCATAGTTTTCCGGATAAACTCTATCTCCCATTTCGGATCTGCTAAACTCACATCTCCCCCCACCCCCACCCCCTAACATATCTCTCATATGTATGTGAATAAATGAATGCAGAGGCGAGACTTTTTATAAGGGAAGGAAGAGTGCAGGTCCAGGACAAAGTGTGGTGTGGCGGAAAGGGCTAGGAAGCTGACCTGTTAATAGTTGTCGACTCTGACATTTGGATAACCATTCTCGTACTCTTATTTCATGACTTGTTCAATACTATGGTCCCCCCACATTTTGTTGCCCTTTCCCTACCATGGAAAATTAATCTGTTTTTCTAATATATTAAGTACATTTAATATAGGATGAAAGATTTCTTTGTTTTAATGCCATTCTGGAATCAGGAATAGGGCTGTGCATGGATCTATCCGATCGGATTTAGCACATTTTGGATTCTGATTTTGGATTTCGGATTCTAGAAATTGCAATCCGAAGTAATATTGGATCGACTTTTAAAGCTTGGATCGGATTTTCGGATTTCGGATCGGATTATTGTGCCTCAAAGTTGCAAACTCATATTATATATTTTCTTTGTAAAAGAGGCTAAAAAGTAAGAAAAATTAATGTTTATGCAATTATGAGAGTACTATGGTGCCAATATAGCTAAATCGAGCAATTGCAAAGGTAATAACTTGGAAAAAAAAGTAAAAGAAGTACTGACTATCCGAAATTAAAGTTTAGTATTATACATACCCTAATAATTTCGGATTTCGGATCGGATCGGATTAGAATTATACCAATCACAATCCGATCCGAAATCCAAAATTTTAATAAACACAATCCAAAATTCGATCCAACCGAAATTGAACGGCTCGATTCGGATTTCGGATATCCGATCCAAATGAACCGCCCTTATCAGGAATACCAGGGGTAAATGAGATTCAATTAAGCTTAATGCATATAAAAAAAATAAAGTAATATCCTAAGAAGATTCTTTTACTGGAATAACGTGGGTCTAATGTTTTGTCAGGATGAGATATTGTTGTTTGTTGAAGGGGCGGATTTAGGGGCGAAAGGTTCGCTGAAAAATTACACTGTATATATAAGGCAAAATCTGGTTTTTATCTTTATATATTAAGTTTTGAACCCCCTTAACACAACCCAAAAGTGTAGTTAGTGGTAAAGGGGGTTCAAAACCTTCATAAGGTCATAGGTTCAATTTCCACTATCTACAAAAATAATTTTTGAACCCCCTTCGCGGAAATCCTGCCTCCGCCACTGATTCGTTGATGCCGATGTTAAAAGAACGTGAAAAATGCAAGTGTCGGTGTGGTGGTAGTTGATGCCCGTTGTACGTTTCTTCGTTCCTTTGGCTCTCCAATCCAGTTTATTGGAAAATCGATAATCCTGAGTAAACTTCAAACATTCAGGTGATAAACATAATTTACGTTACAACACCATGAGTGAAATTCCATTTGCAAAATAAAATTCAACTAAGCTAGATAGTTGTGACAGCAACATAAAATAATTCCATTTGCTATGTGATTGTGCTAAGGTGGAAGTTTTACTCATCCACTATAAATTCCTGAGATCTCTTCATGAAATCAGTGGAGGATGGGTTCCCGAGAACCGAATAACTTTTGCGTAAATTCTGTATTTCTATTAAGAAATTCACTAAATTTCTAACTATGAACTCAGTTATTATTGTAAATTAATTCGAGAGTAGAAATTATAAATATTAAGTCCTAAATCAGTCTCTGCATGAAATACATATTAAGTAATTCCGGGTTTTTGACTAAATCGAATAAGTTAAAGGGGCTCTAACATAAGGAAATGAATGACAAATTGACAAGAGATCTTAATGAATTGATATTATTCTATTCAATGTTCAACTAATGCCTATTTATGCTACAAGTCAACAATTTTGGCCTTAGCGCATTTTTCTTGTTATGCTTCTAGAGTATTTCAAAAAACTTGAGAATTCCTATATAGCATACGAGGGACTGCCTGCTTGATCAGCTGTTTGTTTTTTGTTCGATAATATGGTCAGCTGACGATATTTGTTCGACTTTTAGCCAATGTTAATCCATTCCATATTTTATGGTAGAAGTAGTTACCTACTAAATCTGTTAACTGTGAAATTTTCTCTTGATTTAGCAAAAAAATGGTAACTCTTCTTTTATCACGAGAAATTCCAGCTCTACGCATCTTGAAGATGGGCTTAGGCTAATACTAAGAGCCCGTTTGGACATAAGCATTTTTTTACTTTTTTTCAAAAAAAAAATCACTTTTTTTATAAATCAACGTTTGGTCATAAAATTTCAAATTTTCACTTAAGATGCATTTTGAAATTTTTCGAAAATTTGAACAACTCAAAAAAACTGTTTTTCAAAATTTTCACTCAGATCACTCACAAAACTTCAAAAACAACCCAAAATTATATTCATGTCCAAACACAACTCTAATTTTCAAATACCATTTTCACTTCAAAAAAAATTTCACTTTTTTTTGGAATTTTACAATTCTTATGTCCAAACGCCCACTTAGTACTGACCTAGCTAGACAGATAAAATAGACTGTTGATGATTCAAATGTGCGCAGGGCAATGTCAAAGTTTGGTGCGGAGTGCCAACGTTTAAGATATAAAGTGTCACGGGGGCGTTTTTGGTCAGTCCAAAGTCACACCCGCGCGGCAGTCAAGTTGCGCACTTGACTCAGCCTTTCCCAACACTTAGCCAAGTTTTCAGAAAGTTTGGCCTTAACAGATTTTTGGTAGCAAATCAGAAAGAACACAAGCAAATACGAGAAAATCCCAACCCTTGTATTAATTTCGAAAATATACAAAGGAACCCTCACTTGACTATGATCACAAGCCGATCACAGCCCCACTTTTGACAAAGAACACAAGTCGTTCTTTTGCCAACACTAAGACCTGCCCAGTGCCTAGCCTTAGTCCCTTTTGAAACACTTAGAAACCCTCACGTTTCTCTCTTGTTTCCCACTTAAGTTTTACGCGAAATTGCACACACAAATCTCACTAAGTCCAAAGGCACCTATTTATAGCACATAGGCAGCCTTTAGGACTTGACAGCACATGGACACTTGTTGTCTACAGCTTTGGCGACTTGTCGGGATAAGACTAAATTAGTTCCTAACTTGTAGTTGACATCCCCAACTACTTAGGCCACGCTATGCACGAAATTATAATGGATACAAGCATAAATCAGTCATGGGTACAAGAGGTTATGAAAAGGTAACCGCCAACTGCTTTAGCATGTGCATCGCATGTGCCATTTTGACTTGGCCAGCTGATTCACGCCCAAGGCTGGCATTGCGCCCAGCCTTAGCTCATTTTGACATTGCTCCGCGCCAACACCTTGCCCGCAATCCGCTGCCCATGATTTTGTCGCACACGCCTGACGCCACTGCCGCCCGCACATGTCTTGGCCGAGTTTCTGCCTTGCCCATGTCAACCCTTGTTTCACCTGTGCCATTGTTTGCATTTTCCTTCACATAGCCTTGTCTTAGCTATTGAAAGCCTTTGCCATCATTCTGCACTCCCGCATTTTAGCTTAGCCCGTACTTGTTGCTGCCACAACCCAAAGTGCCCGTGCCACTGACTTTGGCGCGCATGCCATGCCATGTCGCCCCAACATTGCCCACACTACCTTGTTAATCCTTTTCCAAGCATGTCTTGCCTGTCCCAAGACCTTGACCAATACTTGCCCACAACAGCCCTTATGACAATGTCTTGTCTGTCGCCCGCATGATCGTTTTGCCCGCACATAGGCCAATGACAAGGCCATCACGCCCCAATCCTTGCCACAGCCGTGCCACGCCCGATGTCAAAGAGTCAGGCCCTAACAAACCACCCGCACCCTTTGAAATCAACGTCCTCGTCGAGCCAACTCAATTAATCAGCCCGAAGGGTTGTTGACATACAACGCCCCTGTTGCTCCATTCACATCTGCCACAATTGCATTTGCCTCCGCCACTTGTTCCTGTTTTTCCGCAGCCAGCATAGCATTCACTCTAGCCTGCACCGGACAGTCCTTCTTCAAGTACGGTCCACCACAAGTAAAGCAGCCTTTGAACTTGCCGCTCCTTTCCTTGCCATTGTGAATCTTCTGTCTCACATTCTTGGCAAATCCCTCATCTTCGGCAGCTTGGCCTTTCCCACTTTTCTTCCATTCCTTAGCTTTGTCTTTCCTTCCGTCAGACTTTGAATGCGAAGTTTTAACAGGGTCATCACCTATGTTTAAATCAGCCAATGCATCTGCCGCCGCAGTAGCAGTAGAGAGGCTTTGAACATCTGCCTTCTCAACTCCGATTGTGCCCAGCCCTTTAATCCGCTCATAAAGTAATGCAGCTTGTCTTCCTCTGCCATATTACTTACATTCAGCATCAAGGACGAAAATTCCTTGACATACTCCCTCACCGTGCCACTTTGTTTCAAGCGACGCAGTCCATCTCTTGCAACCCATGACGAGTTAGTTGGAAGGAATTGAGATTTTAATTCCTTCTTCAGCATCTCCCAAGTTTCAATCTTGGGTAGTCCAGCACTTTCCGCATCAGCAACTCATGTACGCCACCGCACTTTTGCATCATCAGTCAAATACATAGGTGTGATGACCACCTTTTCATCATCCGGCACACGAGTAGCCTGGAAATACTGCTCCATATCCCACAAGAAATTTTTCAATTCTTTGGCACTTCTTGCACCACCATAAGCTTCGGGCTTCGGAATCCTTAACTTTGTGCGTTCATCACTTCTAGGGGCAGTATTTTGCAATGCCCTTCGAAGTTGAGCCACCTCCTCGCGCAATTCTTCTTTTTCTTGGCGTACCAAGGCCATTTATGCCACCGTAGTCTCATGTCTCGCCGCATAATCTGCCTCCAAACGTGCCATTCTCGCTAGAACAGAAGAATCAACACCTATTTCAAGAGTCTGCCCAATGAGTGCCTCCAACTGTTCCACCCTTTGGCGCAGTTCAACATTTGTGCCACCAGCTATGTTCTCAAATAGCACCACGAAATCTTCCACTGGTCGTCTTGCCACCACCACGAACCTTGCTCCGCTCTGATACCAGTTGTTACGAGGGCATTTTTGGTCAG